ATCAAGTCCTCACTATGATCCTGTGACTGAAGGAGGTTCTTCTCTATTTTATAGAAAATTCAACAGAAGTTCAGAGAGCCTTGTTAACTCATCCTTGGTCACACAGCCAGCACATGGTAATGCTGAGAATAAAATCTGACCTATTCTGCCGCCAAATCCCCACCCATCTCAGTTCACCGCTGTCACATGGGTAGAACCACTGCTCCACTGGAGGATTATTCTCAAATCTCACTAAAGGGACTGGCATTGTGGTACAGCAGGTTAAGCTATTGCTTGGGACACTGACATCCCATATTGCAGTGAGAGTTCAAGTCCCTTCTACTCCACTTCCAATCCAGCTTCCTGCTAATGCATTTGGAAAAGCAGCAGCAGATGGCCCAAATACTTCAGCCCCTGCCACCCTTGTGGGAGAACCAGGTGGAGCTCCTGGCTCCTGACTTTGATCTGGCCCATCCCTGGCTGTTGTGGCCATTTAGGAAGTGAACAGCAGATGAAAGATTCTCTCTCTCTCTCTCTCTCTCTCTCTCTCTCTCTCCCTTTCAAGTAAATAAATAAATCTTAAAAAATAAAATGAAGTACAGTCTCATCAGCATGAGATAATATCAGGAAGTCGAAAGGATCTCTTTCCTCACTAGTTCACATGTTGGTAGAGACGTTTACCACAGCATCAGAGGCACTTTATCATAAGGACTTAAAAAGGCTACGGGAAGATTCATGAATGGGGACAGGTCAGTTGTCAGGGATCTCTGGAGAGGATTGGTTCCTGCATTGAGTGGGATGAGGGCCAGGACTTCTCTAAGACAGCAATTCTCAGTTGTTGGTGGGCATACTAATCTCCCAAGCAAATGCTTGAATGCAGATTGCCTGTCCTGTCATCACAGATTCTGATGGACTAGGTCTGGGGTACAACCTACTATGGGCATTTTTAAAAAGTCCCTTGGCTGATTCTGTTCTACAGTTTAAGAAGCCTACACTTTAATTCCAGAAGCCTGGGATGATATCAGAGTCTAAGTGTAGTGTTTGAAATAATTGCTCATCCTCCCCATTCAATAGCTCTGTTGACTTGTGTAATTGTACACTAATGGACAAATCAGCAAGTGCTTTAGTCAAACTTCAATTCAGTCTGGCAGACATGTCTTGCTTACTACACACAAGGCACTGTATTTGGCTCACACATGTATTTGATCTGTAAAGTTAAATAAAATGTGATCTCTGCCCTCCACAAACCTACCTTGAAATCACATAACATGGTGATTTTTAAAGACAGAATCACTGATGTACTCCTGAAACTCCGCAAAGAAGGAGTTCATCCTGCCTGAAAACACAAGGCGTCTCCCTGAGGAGGCAGCATTTAAACTGAGCCTGGTGTCAACAAGAATGAGTGAAGGAAGGACATTTTAATGGGAGGGTATATTGTGAGCAAAGACAGGAAGCAGGGAAATACGATCACAAGTGAGTCCTAGGAATCCTGAGAAGATTGTGAGCAAGCCATCATAGGAGGACTAGGTGATAAAAGTAGTGTTCATTCTCATGGCCTACTGCAACATTTCCTTTTATCTTTTCAACTACTGTCACATTGGAGAACCATCCTGTTTTAAAGATGAAGACACTAGGCCAGGAAAAAAGCCTGCAGGACCTACAATAAAATATGACTTTGGGCTGGTAGTGGGGTCGTGGGATCCTAGAATGCTGTTACGGTTGCTGTTGTCAAAGAAGGGACAATCAGTAGCTGATAAAGTAGCACATGGAAATATACTACACTAAAATGCAAAATTCTATTTTCCTTAAAAATGTGCGTATATTTTCCAGTTCTGTTCACCAGTGCTAGAAGTGGGCTCAAGGGCAGGAGCTGTTGCAGTTGTCCCCACTGCCTATTCTCATTGCATTGAAAAAAATGTGTAAATGATTGATTTGAGAAGGGAAGAAAGAACAAAGAGAAAGGTCCTATCTGCTAGTTCATTATCCAAATGCCACTAAATTTGGGTGGGGAGGGCAAAGCCAGAAATTCAGCCCAGTTCTCTCACATGGATGTCAGGGCCCTAACCACTTGAGCCATCATCTGCTGCTTCCCAGGGTGCACATTAGTTAGAAGCTAGAATTGGGAAAAGAGCCAGGGCTAAAACCCAATTAGTCCAATCTGGGATATGGGCATCCCAACCAGTAGTTGATAAAGTTGTCCTGAGTAGTAGTAAACCAGTAGTTGATAAAGTAGTTTAAAGATAGCCAAATAGCTGTGCCCATTGTGAACTTTTAATGCTCAGATTTGAGTCTCTCTAACTTTTGCCATAAAGGGCACCAAGATATTTTTATTTTTATTTTTATTTGACAGATAGAGTTAGACAGTGAGAGAGAGACAGAGAGAAACGTCTTCCTTCCATTGGTTTACCACCCAAATGGCCTCCATGGCTGGTGCTGCACTGATCCGAAGCCAGGAGCCAGGTGCTTCTTCCTGGTCTCCCACGCGAGTGCAGGCGCCCAAGCACTTGTGCCATCTTCCACTGCCCTCCTGGGCCACAGCAGAGAGTTGGACTAGAACCTGGTGCCCATCTGGGATGCTGGTGCTGCAGGGGGAGGATTAACCAAGTGAGCGATGGCACCGGCCCCACCAAGATCTTTTGGAAGGTGTTTGATTCTGCATTTTGGGGTCAGGAGAAAGTAAGGATGGTTCTGAGAAACTGTGGTGCCAGACACAGTGCTCAAAGGATGAAAGAGCTCACCTAAAGAGGTTTCCTTAGCCAGATTGAGTACAAAAAATACATAAAATAATTAGTAATATTTCTCCAAAATAGATTGCAACTATTTAGGAAAAATTATTATTTCCTAATGATTCACAACTCAGAAAGTTGGTATGAAGCACATAAAAATGTAGCTGTAATTCAAAGAGAGTTAATGTGATGGACTATATTCAATTTCTTATTGATTTTATAAATTAAGGTAATACAATTTTTTTTTTTAACAGGCAGAGTGGAGAGCGAGAGAGAGACAGAGAGAAAGGTCTTCCTTTGCCATTGGTTCACCCTCCAATGGCCGCTGCAGCCGGCGCACTGAGCTGATCCGAAGCCAGGAGCCAGGTGTTTATCCTGGTCTCCCATGGGGTGCAGGCCCCAAGCACTTGGGCCATCCTCCACTGCACTCCCAGGCCACAGCAGAGAGCTGGCCTGGAAGAGGGGCAACTGGGACAGAATCCGGCGCCCCGACCGGGACTAGAACCTGGTGTGCCAGCGCCACAAGGCGGAGGATTAGTCTGTTGAGCCACGGCGCCGGCTCAAATTAAGGTAATACAATTATATATAAATATTTTGTTTCTTAAAGGTAACAGTCTATAATTTAGAGTTAGGTACCTTTTATATTCTGTCTTAACAGGAAAAAATAAATAGCATTTGAAGAAAGGTAGGGAGGCTACAAGGAGAATAAGAAAGACCAATCAGAACTGGCAAAACAGGGTCCTGTAGTTCACCAGGTCTGGTAGTAACACAAAACAACCAGTGGAAGAGGCAGGCCATGGTGTGTTCCAAAAAGATGAGTTAGCCTCACATCCTAGAAAAGAGAAAGCACCGTGCAGGCTTAGTCCCTCCTCTCTGTAAAGGTGGATCCTCATAGCCAGTGCTTCCCAAATCTCTTATTTCATGGCATACACGGGAAGTAGCGACATTTATCTAATGACACGTTATTTCATGCCACACTATAAGGCTGTGTTGGATGTCCCCTTCTTGCCTTGTCCTCCCTCTAGGGCTCCTAAACCCTCAGGTTCCAAAAAGTTCAGGGCAGAGTGATTCTACAATTTGGCAGCCGTGTAATTCACATGTAGCAATAGACAGTATGCTGGCCTCAAAGTTCTGCTCTAGATGGCCCTCCTAAGTATAACAAAACACCAGCAAGACTTATATTAAACAAATTATTGGTGAGCTTACATGAGTTTTCTGTAGTGCTAATAGGCAGAATCAGTATATCAAAGTAGCAAGACAATGTAGCAAAGACAGCCAGGCCCAATTACAGAATAAATCATTTCAGAAAAGCACTAGGATTGAAAAATTTAAATCTGTATAAAATACAGAAAATTAAGACTCCCATGATGTAACAGATGAAAGTTTGTTATAAGAAAGAGCTTGTGGCTGAATAAGCAGAGAATGAGAACTACCTTAGATACTGCAACAGGTCAAATGTCAATCCGTTTATTGCCTTCTCTGAGGCTGGTCCTTTCCCTTTGGTCTGCTGAGGTATAAAAATACTAAAATTGCTGAAATTTTAGAAAGGCAAACCTGAGAAGAAATGCAGATGAAGTCATAGTATTTATATCTATAGCATTAACATTTGGGGAACTAGTTTTAGTTTCAGGGTACAGTCAACCTCTCATCATTTTGTCTTCTTTTGCACGTTTAAATGATAATTTCTTATGGCCAAATTGTGGCTTTAATCAAATGTTTAGAAGTACTTACATTAGCAAGCAATATTTAAATATTTGGGAAATTAATTTGATAGATCCAGGCCGGCGCTGTGGTGCAGTGGGTTAATGCCCTGCCTGAAGCGCTGGCATCCCATATGGGTTCCAGTTCGAGACCTGGCTGTTCCACTTCCAATCCAGCTCTCTGCTATGGCCTGGGAAAGCAGTAGAAGGTGGCTCAAGTCCTTGGGCCCCTGCACCCACGTGGGAGACCTGGAAGAAGCTCCTAGCTCCTGGCTTCGGATCAGTGCAGCTCCGGCTGTTGCGACCAATTGGTGAGTGAAACAGCGGATGGAAGATCTCTCTCTCTCTCTCTCTCTCTCTCTCTCTCTCTCCTCTCTCTGTGTAACTCTGACTTTCAAATAAATAAATCTTTAAAACAACAACAACAACAAAAGTTTGATAGATCCATATACATTCATCTTCTTAGCAGTGGGAGATGTACAGACATTTAAAGGAATGTTGGTTATTTACTGATTAAAGAGATGTTAGTTGTTTGATAAAATTTGTAAGAGGATTAAATTGGATATTAAACAATACACCAACATTGAGCCTCAAAGGATGCTCAAACATTGAAGATGAATCTATCTGTTGTTATTGTGGTAAAGTCAATTTAATTTAATGAGCATGCTTTTTTTAAAAAAAATGAACAAGAGATATTTGAAAATGCAAACGAACAGCACCATCCCTGTTTGCCCTCAGCCTTTCTTCCTAACACACTCAGGATGCAGCTCCCCCTACAAAAGTAGGACAGGTGAGTAAACTGTCAGGCACCTGGACTCAGCCAGGGCCTGTGTGTGTTCAGAGCCCCAGTTTAGTCTCCTCTTCTAGCTCTGTGCATCCACATGGTAAGGATAGATGAAGCACAGGACCACAGGACGTAGTTATGGAAGGCTTTGACAGTGTGGGTTCACTGAACAGGCTGTGGCCCAGGACAGAGAGCATGCAAGGAACTCACTGATTTTATTCTTAGGTCTTCTGGTAACAAGTGTGTGACTGGAGCAATCTTGACTTCCTTATGCCTCCATTTTCCTATCTGTTCAATGCAGAGTTTAGAATTATGTTTTCTCGTGTCTGTTGCTGTTCTCTAGTTCTATGCACTATTGTGAAGACTTATTGACTTCCAGGAGAGAAGGAGACTTGCTGACCTCTGGACTTCATCCTCTCAGGAGTCTGCACTCAGCCTTTACCAACAGGAACACTGGTGCCCTCAAGTTGGTCCAAGAAGATCTCACAGGTTTCTGTCCTTTTCAGTTTTTCAAACCTAACGGACATGATCCTAGTGTTCTTCCCCATCCCTTTGATTGTGTGGTTTATCCTGTTACGGTGATGTTGCTGGGCTTTTGGAAGGCAGGAGAAATACTTAATAGTTGGTATAGTTTTGATAGTTGGGCGGTCAACTATCAAAATGGTAACTAGTCATCTGATCTATTTTTGGCTTTTTTTAGTGGAACTGCCTTTCTGAGCCCTGGGATCTGACCTTTCCTACCTGTCAGAGACTCTCCCACACTTTAACCCCCAGTTAATGGATAAAATTACTTTCATTTATTTGAATTTAGACAATTGGTTTTGTTAAAATACAAAAATATCATCACCATTCCTTAAGTTTCGGTTGTTATGTGCCAGAATTATAAAAAAAAAAAAAATACAGATTCCCATCTTGCCATTAAAAAGCAAACTGGGAAGAGAATAGATAGTATCTCCAATTTTAGAGGCAATAAGAAAATTGCCATAGTTGTACTTTGGAAATTTATATTTATTAAATAAAAGTTAATGAAAGATCTCTGTGAGTGAGATACCAGTGCAAAGAATGGGCCATCAAAGAAGGAGGTACTTTCTCCGAAGGGAGGAGAGAACTTCCACTTTGACTATGGCCTTGTCTAAATATGATCGGAGTTGGCGAACTCAAGAGGCTTCCATAGCCTTGGCAGCTCATGACAAGAGCCTCGGGTGATTACTGACGTCATAAATAAGAGTGTCAATTGCTAAATCAACAATAGGAGTCATGTGTACTTACTACCCATATACGATCTCTGTCCTTAATGTATTGTACTATGTGAATTAATGGCATAACTAGTACTCAAACAGTACTTTATACTTTGTGTTTCTGTGTGGGTGCAAACTGTTGAAATCTTGACTTAGTATATACTAAATTGATCCTCTGTGTATAAAGATAATTGAAAATGAATTTTGATGGGAGATGGGATGGTTGCAGGTGGGCGGGAGGTTATGGGGGGAAAAAGCCACTATAATTCAAAAGTTGTACTTTGGAAATTTAAATTTATTAAATAAAAGTTAATAAATAAATAAATAAAGGTTAAAAAAAGAAAATTGCCATTATCAGGTTTTGGTTGACATCAGTGTTTCTCAAATCTTAGTGTGCATCAGAATTACCCAGGGGGCTTGCTGTGCCCTAATCCTAAGGTTTCTGGGCCAATAGGGCCAGATCCAATGTCCATGGACCTGAGAGTTTTCTTTTCTGGCAAGTTCCAGGTAATGAGATCCAGGAACAACATTTTCAGAGCATAGGGTCTACATGAAATGCAACATTTAGGTATTGAATGCTATCCGTTGAATACCTACTCTGTGTAACCATTGTTGTAGAAAACAGAGGCATGATAATGAGCAAAAGAAATGTAGTTCCTACCCAGGACAGTCTTCTCAGATGAAAATTTCCAGTTTTTAATCTGCAGTTTTGATTGAAAATCTGCTCAACACAGAAAGTCTCTCCACAGTGCCATAGCACATCATGTTCATTCTATTCCTTGTGCCTCATACCCTCAAAGCCCTTCCTCTCCATCCCCCTTCATCCTCTCCCCAGCCAATCCAAGGCTTGCCTATACCTCATCCGATCTCATGTTCTCTTCCCCACTCTACCCCTCAGTCATCATTTCTCCTAGCATGTCCACCACAGCAGTTAAATTCCTAACATCTTGTTTGCCATTTATTCTATTCTTTTCTGCATTTTTATCTGCTATATTTGTGCCCATACTATTGGAGCATCTCCAGGGTAATAAACTGTGTGTTATATTTTTTCAACCCTCCACTTCTCATGCAATATTAGAAATACTCTAAGAGCTAAACCCAAGCTTGTTGATAGATTCAGTTGGAATATCAACCTCCTTTTTGGAGGAGGTGTGGTAGACATAAAATCACTGCCACCACCAACAACCAGTCAGACCACACAGTCAGACTGTGTTTGTGGTGACTGGGGTGGAGTAAATGGATAGGGGACCAGAGAGAAAAAATTGTGTTTGGATTGGGGCTTTACTTACTGGAAAAGAGCCAAAAGTAGTTAATTTCCCCTTCAGGAAAAAGCTCATCTTTTAAATGTAACATGTTCATAATAAACTGGAGAATAAGTTATAGTATCCACAGCCACTGGTGTTCTCTTGACTAGTACTTCCTAATTTTGCTGAAAATGAGTTCTGAGCCAGTAATTGGGTAAATAGGTCTGAGTTCACACTTTTATTTCAACTGGATTAAGTGGAAATTAACTGCCACATGTGGTCCAAATATATTAAGATAACAATGAAACCTTGTTAATTATGAAACAAAATGCTACTCATAAATTGAAGAACATACTTTATAGCTGGAGAAATCTTTAAGATCCTCCAAGAAAAATATCAAGTAGTAGTTAAGTGTGTGGACTCTGGAACTGGTCTAACTGAGCTCCAATTTTTTGCTCTGCCACCAACTGCTATGCGACCTGGGGAAAATTTCTTAGTCTCTCCGAGCCTCAGTTTCCCTCTCTGTATAAAACATAAAGCATTACCTAACTAAAAGAATTAATAGGAGAAATAAATGACAGTATAATAATGTACATGAAGTTCCTAATACAATCCCTAGCACATAGAAGTAGCTTATTAAATTGTAGTTATTATGTAGTCCAGCCCTAACATTTTACAGATGCAGAAACTGAGGCTCTGTGTAATTGCAGTAATTTAGGGGTAGGGCTATGATAAGCAACTAGGACTTCTGAATTCCTGCCCAATGCTCTATTTGGGGTAACTTACCATTTGCCACTCCACTCTATAATTTGGATCTTTCTACTATATAATTTGTGAAAACTTGGTTGTGAACTTTCTGTGAAAACTGAGTTTCAGGTTGAATATATATATTCAATATACAAGTTATTTAGGAAAAGGACTATTTTCGAGCCTTTTAATAGTATCATTTAATGAATTGTCCACAAACATTATTTGTAAAGTAGTTACAAGTCATTACCAACTGTTCAATTGAAAGGTCCCATTCTCAGCAACACTAATTTGAGTGTTGACTAAATCAATTTGAGTTGTGTAGTAAAACTGCGTTTTGTTGGGTCAGAATTGGAATTCTCAGATGTTATGAAGAGGCTATCTGGTTCTATCAATAACTAGCTATATCTATAGTCCTATCAATACAGGAAATGACTCCCCAAGATATCCTTAATAGCAGCAGTTGTCTTTTGCTGAATAATTTAAGTAACAGTAAAATTATTACACCCAGTACAGCCAGTTCTAGTTTTTAACTCTTGCTATGGTCCTTCAAGTGTTCAGATCTTCTTAAACTAAGCATATACACAGCACTTAATATATTCCAGAAGTTACAGCCATCATTGGTCAATCTGAGACTTTCTCACACTCTTCTGCAATAAAATATAGGAAATTTTGCTTTGTTTGTTTTGCAGAATAAACACAGCCAAATTCCTGGTGGTTCTGCTGGTCCAGGAGGGAGTCACTTGCCTTGTACATGACAGGTGTGTAACACATAGTACTCAAAGCTTAAAAAAGTCAAAGATGTATAATAATTTATTCATGTTAGATAAAAGCTGATAAAAGTTACCAAAATTTCGTATTAAGGATGATTCTGCAGAGTGTGCCCCAAAGGAGGCCTTTGTCTAATAAAAGAGAAATAGAGAGCTGAGAGAATTTTTCCCATGACAGCGTGCCTCCAAATGAAAGATGTCTCAGTCAAGATGACTTGGTTTGCAAGAGGCAGCAACCTTCTTGAGAAGAAGTGGAGGATGCATGGCTCATGAACCCCACAGGAATATTAGATGGGGCCCTGGGTCACAGACTGAAGGGCTACTGACGTTCTCTCTCCATTCATTCTCAGACCATCTTTTCCACGAGGCAGGAGACCTGTCTGTGACCAACCATGGGTTCATACCCTGTTACAGCCTTGCAAACAGAGAGAAAAGAGATTTTCTCCCAGCTTAAATAACCCAGGGAAGGACCCAGAACAGTCTGACTTGAGTCATGTGCTCACCATGACCAGGACTGTGAGTTGCTTTAGAACCACCCAGAAAAAGGGGATCAGCACTCTAAGCACACACAGTTTGTCCACTGTGTCTGGCATTGAGTGCTTTCTGTGCCAGGCACATGCTGTCTTTCATTTATTTCCAAAATAAGAATCATGGTTCCAGGAAATGTCTGTGGGGCCATGTTGAATGGTTCTGTGGGGCTTAAGGGAGCTAAGCCTAGAAGAGGAGGGAGGCCTAAGTCACCAATGAGAATGAAAAACTGGGCCCCCCATGGCAGGACACTGCCATCTCTCATCCCGCATCAACAAGAGCCTGTGTAGAGTCCAAACACATCCCCTTCACCCAGCCCAAAACACTTTTCCCGCTTGATATGGATTCAGGTTTTAAGGGGCCTGAAACTTGTACAAGCTGAGGATACCTCTTTAAGAAAAAGAATATCAAGGCATCTTATTTTGCAAATTTTACAATATACAACCCTGTAGACACACTTTAGTGTCCCTTAGCCATAGTCCTCTGGGGCAAGGGACCTGAGATATAAGCCTCATTAGTTTCATGACAAATTCACTTATGGTAACATTTGTCGAACTGCAGTTGGAACCAGGGTTTAAATGGACATCTGTGATCTCCACACCCTTCCCCACCACCACTTGTCTCTTGAGAATGTCTGGTGCTCAGGCTCTTGACTAATTTTAATTGTCCCTCCACCTCAATACACTCAAATCCTGGAAATATACCATTTTCATAATTATTTGAAACTGACTACTGCCCATCCCACAGATGAATTTTCTTTCCTGAAAGAAATATGGTCACTGACAAAGGAGAAATGGGTTTCAGCACACCCGCATTCCAAGGCAAACGCTTTGGCCTCCATGTCATGGGCTTGAACCTGATTTTCCCAGTCACAGCACTGCTGAAACTGATAGTCTAGTCATGTAGGGGATTTTCCTGACTTCGTGTCTGTCTCCTCATGGCTGTTTATTTGTACTGCTGTCTGCTTCAGTTTGGGACACTGACCTTATAAGCTACTTCCCCAGCCCAAGTCTGTAGCCAGAAAACTAGGAGTTTCCCTCTGGCTCTGCTTACAGCCAATTGGAAGGAACTGGCTATTGATTCATTGTAGAATTGGACTGGGGTAGGGAGAGGAAGAGGGAACTGTGGAATGGAGAGGGAGGGAGGGGGAAAGGGAGGGAGAAAAAGAGACAGAGAGAGAGAGAAAGGGAGAGAGAGAGAATTAGAAAATCAATGCCAAGCCAGCTGCAGCTCTCTGGACAGCTGAGTCATAGGAGCAAGCAGTTTTGTTGGCAGGCAGGCTGTGCATACTAACTCTTGAGTTCCGGCTAGAGTGGGGATAGTTAAATTAGAAAGTTAAAGGAAAGGAAGCCACAATTTCATCTCAGATAGCAGTTCATTGTGAGAGTCCTATGATCAGAAATGAAGGGTAAGAAGCTGAGTCCCCCACAAATGAGAGTTGTCCTCATAAGGTCAGTCAGAATCTCTCAGAGCAGTCTGAACATTGCTATTTCATTTGTTTAATACATAAATTACAGTAATTGCTAGAAGATGCTGGATGAATGCTCCTTATTGGAACTGGCTAAAGGTTGTCTGAAAACGCTGGCTACTGAGTCACGAGTTCATAATCAGCTGTGTTGTGACTGGACTTGGCAGTCCTACTAGGCACCAGAAGGTCATTATTACAGAAATAACTGGACTGATAGTTATATGTCTATAAATTTGTCCAAAATGAAAAAATCATCTCCAAAGGATGACAAGAAAGGCTTAGAAGGAATCTAAGGAGCACAGACATGAGTGTAGTTGGCCATCACCACCCTGGGCAGGGGATTCACTCCAGGTGGAATGAAATGTGCCCTGGCAGACATTACTGGGTCACTGAGCTTGTGAAACGAGGACAAACTTGATAGAATCCGTCAACCACATGCTTTCACCTCTAAGCTCTGCTCTAGCAATAGGCCTCCATGTCCATCATGCCTATTCAAAAGTCTAAGTAATGACTAGGCCTGCTCTTTCTTCTTCCGTGCACAGAGTATGGTTATTTTCAAAGAATATCACAGGGCCTTACTCATAGGGTTCCCTACCCATCTATGCTATTGAACCTTAGTGTGGCTGAAGACTACACAATGATCTTTTCATTCATCTCTTCTTCTGATCTTGTCCCTACCAAACTCTTTTTCTCCCTTTAGATAATAGATGAAAGAAGTGTATCAAAGTGTGTGTGTGTGTGTGTGTGTGTGTAATAAGGAAATGAGCACCGCTCTGTCTACTCTGTGGATGACAAGTGCAGTGCATCTCCTTGCCTGAGGTCTCTGCTGCCATCTCCCTCTCTCTCTTTAACGAAACTCCGGATCTTGTTTGCTCTGGGCTAGTGGTTCTCCACTCTGCAGTAGAATCACCCAGGGAGCTTTAGAAAGAGCGGTACCAGGGCCCCATCTTACCTCCAACTTCCTCCAGAGAGTGGCCTGGAGAAGAATGTCAATAGGACGAGTCAAGCTCCCCAGGTGATTGTAATGAGTCACCAGTCACCTCTCAGGTGTTTCCTTACGCAGGCCACAGAAGCATCTCAGTGACTATCATGTAAAGGTTCTGTGACATTTTGCAGGAACTCTTACACAGTTCATGGAAAATAGTGCCTTACAGTCATTTCTGGCTAGCATAATTAAATTAATTCTCACTTTGTTGCCTTCTAAGGAGAAGGCCAGAATCCTGAGTCGCGGTCCAGACTTTGCTTACATAGCACTGGACAAATAACTTACCCTCTTGGGACCTGTATTTCCTCTTATAACAAAATGAATTGCCTAAGTCTGATATGCAAGTCCTCTTTCAGCTCCAGGCTGTCAGGATAAAAAAAAAAAATCCAATGGCTTTTATCAGTACTATTGTTAAATCAGCCTGCTGTGTATCAGCTGTGTGACCTAGGGTGGCTCATTTATCTGATGTAAGAGAGCCTCAGATTATTCATGTGTGAAAATTAGATGTGTTGCTCATGCCAGGTTTTCCAAATGTGTTCCGCAGAACATTCCCTGTACAAGAGTTCCCATAAAAATAGGTTTCCAGGGTATAGCACAGGAAAGGGTCTGACAAGTCTTAAAGGTAATTTAACTAGGATAACCTTTTTTAAAAAATGGTTGATATATAATTTTTTAAAAATTATTATATATTATTTGAGATGCAGAGAGATGGAGGAGAGAGCAAGAGGGATAAGGGAACATAGGAAGCAAAAGAGAGAAGGAGGAGTTCCCATCCACTGGTTTACTACCTAAAGGCTCACATCAGCTAGAACAAAAGCTGGGATCCAGGAACTCAATCCAGGTCTCCCACAGGGTGTCAGGAACCCGACTACCAGAGCCGGTACCACTGCTTCCCAGTCTCTGTATTAGAAGAACATTAGCATCAGGAGTCAGAGCTGGGACTTGAAGTCAGGCATTCTGATTTAGGACACAGAACTCTTAACCACTAGGCTAAATGCCTGCCCCAGTTAACTCTTTAAACCCAGAAATTCCCATAGTTATTTGATCATGAAGCTACTGTTTTGTTATAACCCTATTGACATCCCACAGAACTAACTTGCTACACTTGATGTTCAGATCCATTTCACTTCTTAAATGCCACCATTTTGTGGTCAATGCACAAAGCTGTCAGATAAAGGATGAACAATGTGCTCATTCCTTTGACGTGTAAATGGAAGATTATTTGTTCACAGCTTCTTTCCAGTCTTGGGCAATTTCTTAGGGACGGATTTAATCTGATACTAGGATCAGATTACCTGCTTTTGAGTAAACAATTTTAAAAATGTGATGAAGGGTCAGAATCACTCAGGATCAAGTCTAATGGATTATAACCTTCTTCACTGTAGCCTACAGGAGGTAGGTCTTTGTGACTCTACTTTTCAAATAAATAAATAAAATCTTAAAGAGAGAGAAATAAATGACATCTATTGACTGACTCATTTCTCTCAGTTGAATCCAAAAAGACCAATTCCATAAAACCAAAGGAGTTCAGAACCCTAGGACTCATCTGCTCACAGACAACAAAGGTGGATCTGGAGTCACACTTCCCAGCGGGTCAGATGACTGGGGCCTCTTAATGTGGTGTCTTGGCTTTCCCATCTGTAAGGTGGAGATAATAACTAGCCCTAATAAGAGTGACTTAATCATAGAAAAAGTGATTTCCTATGAGTATGCCACCTAGAATAGCACTGGCCCATGATAAATACACAATATTTTTTGTTATCACATCAGCTTACAGACCTAATTCGTGTGGCTCATAGAAGGTAGTTGTTTATAGGTAGGCCATATACTCTCTAGTTTGCCTCAGACTCCACCTCTCCCTATAGTATTATACTTCTTCCTGGCCCCTGTATTCATTGTGTGCACCTGAGTGTAAAACAGAGCCTTAGTAAAGCAGACATTGGCAGTGTAATGTTTCAGTGCTGACTCATCAGTGTCTACCAGAAAGATAGGGCTTTCTAAATGTTCATT